TACGTCTACTCGTCTCTTCGGCCGATGGCTGGTTCATTACGCAATGACTACGTCCGAGATATAGAGGCCCGCTTCGAAACCAGTTTCAAATAGCTGCCAGAGAGGATAGATGGAAGAGGCGTACCGAGGCGGAGGGGCGCGGTGAATTATCCTTCCGCAACCTGGCCTAACTGAACAACAGGCGAGTCCCGAGAGCGTGCAGTACCGCGCGGAAACACTCGGCGCCTCTCGGAGAATGCTGTGCGATTATCGCGACATTAAGTACGTGTGCGGCAATTAACGCGCGCGCTCTTTTTTTTTTTTTTGCTGCTAAGGTGTCTTAAGCGCACTTTCAATGAAAGAACATTAAACTGGGTACGTAGTGTTATTTGCAGTATTCGTTGCACTTTCTGTATTTTATGTAGTAGAAAAAAAGTTATAATTTTTTTTGTAATTCACAAATACTGTGAATCTATTGAGAATTTCAAAAATTTTAATTAAAATCACACTATAAAAAAAAAAAAAATAGCTCCGCATTGGAAAAATAGGTAGCCCGAACGAACGGATTAACAATGCGTCGGACTATAATTCAAAATGATTTTAAGAGGCCCACTTGCGATATCGTAATAGTGCGACTAATGGACTTTCCATGCGCCGCGGCAATTTTCGATATTCAACTTTCAATGTCCATCCGCCCGGCGCAATTACCGCGTTACATCCGTCACTCTCTCACATTCGCATTACTCCATTTTCGTTCAACTAGAGACAATCTAAGAACGACATATACCAACTGTCTTAATTCACTTACTTTCTACGAAGCAATAATTGCAGCAATGCAATTAATAGTCCAACATTTTTTAAGTATCTCTACATTTACATCTCTTTCGTAACAAATTAAAAAAAAAAAAGAAACATAAAATTAAATCTTGAAACCGTGACATACCGCGATTGTATCGCAATAATCAATTTCGAGTATTTCGATAAAATTTTGAAATTTTACACAAAGAAACTGTTTCCGCCGCGCACAAGCGGCGATTACGTAAGGATTAATGAACGAGGATGAAATATACAACGGTCCGCGCGCCGCGCTCACATCGCAGACTCCGAGCAGCTTCGATACTCGAAGAAGTATCGGTTGCATTCCTCATCTCGGTACGCGGTTCTCTGTCCGCCCGCACTGATTCATCGCCAACGGGGAAAGAACGAGGACTCACGGCGCGCGTTGCACCCCCGCGATTCACCCTGACGTGGATTTCGCCGAATCGCGTGGGCGTAACGACGAGTAGGCGATCGCACATGCATTTATACTCGCGCACGTAAATAAACACACGTATAGGAACAAATGAGACATGTACGCGCGCGCGCGCGCGCACGTGTCGAATTTCTCTTTCTACGCCACGGGGTACGTCCTAGGTCGGCGATCCATTAGTCACGTCGCGCGCGCGCGCGGCGACAAAACTTTACGAGCTAAATGGCCGGTACACCTTGGCCCCGCAAAACCTGCAATTCACTTCGCTCCGTCGCAACGCGTCGCGTCGCGCCAAGTCGAGTCGCGCGCGCGAGAAGGACGCAAAACTTGAGCATTAAAAAGACCTGACCGCGCGCGCGCGCGCGCTTACGCCAGGCGGAGCAAGGTTCTTTTCATAAGTGGGATTTCGTCAGTCTAGGCGACATCAATGAGACGTCGACGTAAACTTCGTCGTCGAGTCCTTTCGCGACGAAAGAAGAACGAAAGAAAGACGTCTAGACGTCCTGTAATGGATTCCGTTAAATGTCTCGCCTGTCGATTTCGCGCGAGAGGTGTGAATTCTTTTTTCTTCCCACACATTCGCAAAACTCGTGGTCGATAATGTCGCGAATGTTTTTTTATGAAGATATATAACAGTATAGATGAAGCAACTTTAATGGTCTTAATCCTAAGATGCACAGCAATAGTTTACAATAGCTAAAAGAAAACAAATTATTCTTGGCTTCTTGTTAAATAATGTAGGAAGAGATGGTTTGAGCGTCATATTAAAAAAAAAAAAAAAACAGAAAATATCCTTGATATTCGATAACACGATCTTTTAAAATGTTTCCTTGCATTTCAAAATGAATAATTTTTTCCACTGCTTTAATATGCGTACATTTCTGTTCGTTAAAACTCGTAAAAATAGTCTCTGACCAACTTCAGACGTCGAAAAAAAAACTAGTTTTTTTCTGGCGATTTTGCAAATGTTACACGAATATCTCTCGCGAAAACAGTTTTGTTCATGACATTTTAAGACGTGTCGCGACAAACAAAAATTCGCCCAGGAACGCCGCAAATATCCCGCTCATTGAAATAAGGTGTTACCTGTGAGTGTGGAGTTGTTAATGGTGTTGTTTGCCGTAGAAATGGCCGATTGGCTGGTGACAGGTGTGCCAACGGTGGTAGCCGTAGTGGTGGTCGAAGAGTTATTTGGCGAGAGGGCGGCGTTGGCAGCCTGGACCTGGGCCTGCGCCAGTGCCTGTGCCTGCGCCTGTATATTACAATTCCAGGCGAGCAGCATCAGCTTCAGCTTATCCGGGTCTTTCATGAGCAAGTCTGCCGAAAATTAAAAGTTTCCAATTGGCTTCAAATAAGATTTACAAAAAAAAAAAAAATCATGTAGAACGATGATCACGTGCGCGCGCGTGCAACGAATGCGAGGTTCACCGAGCGATCTTCCTCGCCTGAAAAATTAACTCGTCTACGACGACAAGAGTCCTTGCTCATATAAAAGAGAAAGAATGAATGTTAGAGAAAAAGAGAGAAAAAGAAAGAAGGGAGAAGGGAAAGGAGAGAGAGAGAACGGAATCATACGTCCGGACGCAATCCTATATCGCGAGTGAGCCGCGACATTCGTCATCCACCTCCGGTTGGCCTCGTCCGCCGTAGGCTATTATCACTTATCAGCTACCTGAGCTTGCGAGCTCGCTCCGAGCAGAACGCGTCGAATAAATTAGACTCACAAAACAACAACAATAATAACAACGTCGTCGACTCGATTTAATCGCCGCTTAATAACGCAACAGGTTTAATTACCCGAAACTGATAAATCGGCCGGTCGGTGCAAGCGCACCTCGCAGCTGGCGGCGAACCGCGTGCAATGCCGTTTACGTTTATTAATCGATCGGGTAATTTACACGAGTTCTGACAAAAACCAAATCGCGGCAGAATAAGCTCCTGTGCGCGAGTCTATAAGCGAGTCTACGATTAACTGTCCGACGAAGTATGTGCCTCGTGATTTATCCTTGAACACTGTCGAGTCGGCGAAGAGACGTCGTTGTATTATTGATCAGCTTGGCGGTAGAAATCGACGGCGCGATTAACGACGTTCTGTCGACGCAACTCGCTCCGTGAGATATCCACCGAGGGATACTACCGACGAGACTGACGAGATCCATACGAGCCGGTTTTAGCGTCATGACTCGTCCGTTTCCCGACAAACCGATATCCTAGAGCGAGCGATAACGCGGTTTTTTTTTTTTTTTTTTTTTTTTTTTTTTTTTTTTTTTTTTTTTCATTTCTTCGATTTGCTGCCCGCGCTTGTGACGATTTCAACGTTAAGCAAAGCGACGCGAAAAAACAATACGATCCGCGAGCGACAAATAAAACACGATGTCTTCCAAAACTGTTACGGCGATATACAGCGGCGCGAAGACCGCGACATATTGGCGGAGAGTGACGAGCGAGATGAGTAATGCATGACGCGCATAGATTTTCCGGCAATCCACATGTTGATTAAAATTAATGACAACAAGGTGTCGTCTTTATCTGCAGAGTTTCCTTAGACTAAAATGCTCGCATAGAAAGGCTCGTCGTTACTCAGCAAACAGAATTTTGCCCAGCAGACAAAAGCTCATTGAACGCTCGCACCGGGATATTATTGTATTGTGTCGTATGCGTGTGGTTTTGTGTTTGCGTTTCTCTCGCAAAATCGTTGACTTTTTTTCTTCATCTGGACCGCATACAACACGATTCCATGTAACGTCCATCTCTCTCCGAAGACGTTCCTGCACGCCGTGAATTAAACCGTAATCGAATGCACGGTGCCGAGTAACACGTTCGACGATACTAATTCGTTATATCGATCCGTGCCACGCGAGAATTGTAACGCGGATCCGTCGAGCAAAATCGAGTCGCCGATATATTGACTCTTAAAATATCGCGTCTTGATTCCAACCAAAATTGTTTAATAAATATCGGATTATATTCCATGAAAATTTGCGTTTTTATCCGCAACATTTGACACTAAATGAAATAACTTGTGTCTCGTGCATTATAGTTCTGTCAATTTGATAAATCGAATTGTATATATCTTCTGAAAAAAAAGAAAAAAAAAACTAAATTTATCGAGTAATTTATTTCGAACTGCTTTGCGACAATAATCAAAATCCGATGTTTAAAATTAAACGAGACGAAGACGTTTCGACGAGTTCAAGTTTGACTTTATATCGTTTTCCACATTTTGAAATTTGCATTAAAATTACCACGTGAAAGCACACAATGCGAGACACAATGTGTCAATGGTTAATTCAGCCTATTATAATAATATTGCGTAATATGCAGTCCGACACTGCTGCGTTCACGCTGTAGGACAAAATGTGCACGAAGCTTACTATTAATTTACGCAAATTCCGCGGAATACGACTGGAACAATGTAGTGTCCGCGTAGTAGAACTGCAACGCGCAACTGCACGTAATCGGGAGCGGAGAGTTCAAAGGGACAATCCGCAGATTTTGCAGCGTATCACGCGGCCACGGGCTCGGTGCCGTTTGTACGTTCCGAGCGGCGGAATTAGCGGTGACACGCGGCGGACGGGCGCTTCGGACGGGCGCGACGACGAGAGCAGAGATTTATTAGCCGGCGGACAAACCCGCGGGGAGAAACAGAGAGAAAGAGAGATATAGAAAAAAAGAGATGAGGAAAAAGGATAGAGAGGACCGGTCGTGCAGTCGGAGTGACGTCTAAATCATTCAGGACGCGGTTCAATAATGTAGAAACGCGCGGCGCGCGCGCTACCGTAGAATTCGGGTCAGATTCCCGAAACGGGTGCGACCTGACCCCGCGCTCAAGAGCCGCGCCAAAAAGACGGAGACCGAGACACGGCTTCTCCGACGAAGTATACTCGAGCCGCGAACCGAGTCGAGAGTAACGGAGTACGAGAATGAAGTGCCGCGGGCAAGCACATCGAATGCGAACGAGAACTCGACTGCGAGCGGCTTCGCACGCACGCGCCGGAAAATACGGCGCATTTTTTTTTGTTTCGTAAAGGAATTGCGATCTCTCACTTCTCGTATAGATCGGTATATATATGTATATATATATATATATAAATTTTCCATCGCTAGTAAATTAAAAAAAAAAAAAAAAAAAAAAACAGCCAATATACTGATAAAGAAACTGAAGAGTGTTCTGCTCACTTTGATAATGTTCTTCATCGGCGATGTCGGCAGGTTCCGGAGTCGAGATGTTCTCCTGCAACAGAAAGCCACTGGTTATCCGAAGCGTTTTTCACTCAAGTCGCGTATGGCAGTCGAACGGCCCGTGTCCGTTCTGAACTGCGTGGCGCGCGGTTCAGATAGAACAGAACAAAACTCTTGCGACGCGTTTTAAAAAGTTCGCGAAACTCATTTTCCGTAGCTGCCGGGTTATGATAATACCGCGCAAACGCGCGCAGTCACGGCGCGTAACCGCATCGTTATGTAGAACCTGGGAGAAGCTCGCGACCTTATTCGCTCGCTATGTATAGTCATTCATGCCATTTTTGTAACAATATTAGAATTTTTTCTTTGAACGATAAAACAAAAAAGTATTTAAATTTAAATAATTCCGTCTGTTTTATTAAGTTCAAGTTATAATAGACATGCTATATGAATGAATGCTGAACTACACCTACTCTCATTTTTGTTTTTATAATCGTATAGATTGTAATATCATTCTTAATAAGATTCTTTTCGAAAATGTCAGACAGAAATATTTTTAATTATTGTAGTTTTAAATTAAAGCGAGATTATTAACTGTGCGAAATTATCCCTTTCCTTTTTCTCTTCCTTCTTTCAATACGCACAATATTGTCACGAATGTTTAATTATTTTATTTTTACTTTTGCATATGGAGAAAGGAAAAAAACATGCCTAGAAATTCGTGAATTCTCTTATTTGCATTACGTAACGACGCACGTAAGACGTGTAGCTTCGAAGAAGCTATCGAAGGCTGTTCGCGTTACCATACGCCCACAGGAAGACCGTGGACTTTATTGTCCCAGATCAAGAGCCAACGGCGACTCGCGATTCGTCGAAACGCAAATTGCTTACGCCTCGGCGCTACTTCGCGCGGCGAAGGTGACGCGCGTCGAGATTCTCAGATCAGTATAACGTGCGCGCGCGAGCACCGCCTCTCTCAACCCTTTCACGATCAACGCGGTCAATCTGTCTCCGGCTTGAGTTCCATGTACACATGTACAGAGAGATCTCTTCCAACATAACCCGGGGAAGTAGAATCGTTAGTTGAGTGAGAGAAGAAATGCAATGCGCGCGTGTTAAAAGATTATTTATAATGTATTTACAAATTCTGACAATAATTCTTACAATAATATTCTTACAACAAATAATTCTTCGATAATAAAATTTCAGAAATGTAACTATAACGTTTGCAGCGCAGACGGTATTTTTCGTATCGCTATTTCGCGTACCCGAAAATCATCCATTTATTTTTTACGCCACTGACAAGATTGAGTGGTCAGGGTCGTTTCACGTGAATAAGGCCGAGGCTCGTCGAGTGGAGGATCGCCTCTATATGGCTGGATCGTTTTTCATCGAAAAGAGCAGCGCGAAGCGTTCTCCGTGATATGGCATTGGCGCGCCGCGGCTCTCTTCTAATCGATCTCTCGAGTCGCGCCGAGGCGATCTTCCAAGCTCTAGCGCCGCGATTCTATCTCGCTTTGATTGATTTTATCCCGACGAAATTAACGGGTTTTTCCCTCCCGTTGAAACGAACGGCCGACAGTTTCGCAAGGCATGCACTAACGTAGTGCCGAGCGAAGCCTGGGCCGACTGACTGGTTCGCAGTGTGTTGCTGCAGCAGCAGGCGCTGCGGCGGCACAGCCTCTCCTATCTGTGTCAGGTCTCGTGTTGCAACTCCAGAAGGTCGACCGGTATACAACGCGGAGAGCACGGCCAATTGATATCGGCCACAACTTTGTCCAGCGGGCTTGTACGAACGTAGTGTGTGCGTGCGTGCGAGCGAGCGTAGCGCGTGCGAGCGAGAAAACGCGCACACACGTCCGCGTGGTGTTGCGCGTCAACGCGCGCGTGTGCGCGCAGCGGCCGCAAAAAACTCCTGATGATGTAACCGAGAAATTCCGACGAGTCGGCGCGCGGACGAACGTGAAAATCGCGCCAGAGGCGAGGAGATCCAATCGCGACGAAAATGTCGCGCGTCACGCTTTTTTAAAACAAACGACCACCTCTACGCGCGTCTTTTCGGAGAAGGGAATGTTTGCAAAGTATGGATTCGCGGTATGTCCCACGATGTGGAAATCAAGTTTTACAGCACGTTTACGTTTACTATACAGTTACGCCAGATCGGATGTGGAACGAGCACAATTCTCTCCAAACGCGCGTTGAGAATTTTATTTATTTTTAATCTATATCGAGGTAGATCCACACAAGTTGTTTGCGCGTTAACAATATATTTTTTAATGCAGTTGTCAATTTACATACATCGAACTAGCGGTTTAACTATCTCAACTGTCTGTTATTTTTTTTTATTTTTTATTTTTATGTGATTTACACAAAGTGTATGTCATAATTTTAGTCCCCGGGACTTTTATCCATTGACACTTTGCGATCTGATATTAGTTGTAGTTTTTATTCGATAGAAAAAAATCGGTAGAACGATTCGAAAGAGTTTGTCGGTATTAGATAGAAGCCACGGTACAGAATCTGTTTAATAATCGTGGAATTTATTGGCCAAGCGTCTCTCTCTTTCCTTCATAAAGCTCTGACAATGTTTGACTGCACATACATATTCGCGAAAAGTTATTTTAAGAATCTTCCATTAAGAATTTAATATAACCCGATTGTCATAAAAATCAAGTCGTGGAAGTATCGATTGTAATGAGCACATCTTTGCAATTTGAAAGTCAATGAGTCAACTGATTTATCGAGAGGGAAATAAACATTAACAAATATAAAAAATATATACAAAATATAATAAAATCACACAAATTAAAACTAAGTAAACATTCCGAAACTTAATCCTACGAAGAAAAAGAGAAAGAGAAAGAGAGAGAGAGAGAGAGAGAGAGAGAGAGAGAGAGAGAGAGAGAGAAAGCTTTCTCAATAAATTCTGCTAATTTATATTTTACGATTTGAAGAATTGTCTTGTGATCAACCATGCCGCTTGTAGAGGTCTCGATCTCGCTCGACCGGGCACATCGTCAAGGTGTCTGCTATTAAAGATAATCGCAGCGGGTTACCTTCTAAGAAGGAGTTGGCCGACGAGCGGACCGAGCTCCGCAGCGGTATTCTTGTAATTGATACCATCGATACGATCGTTACGAGTTATCCTACACGCCAGGATATCTGCGAATTGTTGCGTTTAATTTACGACAAGGACACGAGGCAACGGAGCGATACTGGAAGTCTCGTTCACGCGGAACTCGTCGAACAGTACAAAACGGTACTCGAGCAATGGTGTAATGCTTGATAATGCATATTGAAACATACATCTTTAATGAACTAAATATTTCTGCAGTTCACAATAATTTGTCACGACAATATATTTTCGGATTCTGTACCATGGCTTCTAAATTTTAAAAGTGATAAAACCAATAATGATAAAAAAAAAGAAATAAAACCTTTAAAAAGACAACGAGGCGATATATCGTAGATAAGAGGATAAAAATTATTTCCGTATGTTTTTATACTGTTGAAATCTGAACACTTTGTTATCATATTGATTTCGTTTTGCTATGGAAGAATCTCGATGGGGAAAGGCGAGAGGTTAGCGCAGGTATTAATAAACAAAGAACCCCAATCTTTCCACTTCTCCACCGGGCTACGCGTTCCTTCTCTTTCTCCCTCTTTCTTTGTCTCTCACCTACGTGCGGGGGCCGCCCCACTTCCGGCGGATGTACTCTGATAAATGGGAATCTCACTGCGCGCACGACCGGCCGGCCGTATACACCTACGACTGCTGCGGCGAATGAGAAACGATCCGGGCGTCTTCCAGGCATGAAGCATGAAGACGAAGACAGAAGCGGGCAGAAGGAGAGCAGTAAAACGGAGTTAACAGTAACCCGCACCGTTCGAGATCCCTCGGTAGCGTCGAGAACTCACACATTCGTCTTCGGTATGTATTGAAGCAGGCGATATTATTTGGCGAAAAATAAAAAAATAAGTTCTTTGTATTCTTCCGGAATTTCTGACGGATAAGAGAAATAAATGGCTAATAAAGAAACATTTAATTATTGTATTTTTGTAACGTTTACAAAAATATCTTCTTTCTATTTTTCTCTCATCCGATGCTGATCATCGATTAATTTTTGCGAGAATATTGAACACACGGTTCAGAAACGATTCAGAACTGTAAAGCCGCTGTGTTGCACGCAACAGAACTTTGGATGAAACGATACGCTAATCTCGCGCGCGCTCCGCTTCATCGTTGAGATCCCGACGATGATCTCGGAGACGGGAATTCTGTCGTAACGTTGATCGTCGAGGTCACGTCTCGCTAACGCAACGAGCGCACGAATGCGCCGCGCTCGATTCGTACGCACGCATTCGTATGTGGGAACGTATACAGTTGGGATAAGGAGAGAAACTCTTAACTCGAGCTGGTGACTCCGGAACGCGATGAGCACACATTCTCTCCCTCTCTCTTTCTCTCTCTCTCTCTCTCTCTCTCCTCTCGTCTCTCCCGAGGAGGGAAGAGAGACGTGCGGAACCAGAACTACGCAGAGAATTGCCGCGAGCTACAACGGTGGAAAAAACAAGGAAGGATAGGAGGGCAGGGGGCAGAGAGATAGAAGAACCACGTTCTCGTGGAGAAGCGCCGTTCTCGGCGGCCAGATACGGCTGAAACATTTGTTTAGTTGGCTGCAATTAAGCCACTTGGCGGCAATTGTTTGTCGCTCAGCACAGAATTCCGCTCCCACCGTTCGGCTCCACGAGATGCGTGTAGTACACGGTTACGCGCGCGTGTTACAGCGAGAAGAGAGGCGGTGAGAGGGGCACAGCCTCCGCGGGCGAGGGGGGCTGTGTGCGCTGTGTTGTACCAACTCGCCACCAACACAGCAATTCCAGACGATAAAAGCGAGCGAGTTGCCGGGGTTAGGGGTCAACCGGGTCCAGTAGCCGGTGTCCGACCAATCAGCGGCAACCGGCCGGACACCGCCGCGAGATCGTTCGAGGCGATTGTCTTTTGTCTTTCTAGACAAGTGAAGATGCTGAATTGCCCGTCGAAGCGGCGCG